TTAAAGTAATATTTAATGTAAATAATACTTGCGTATGAAATATCCATCGCGTTTAATGCAATTGCGTAATCGATTAATAAATGAGAGTGACACATGTCGAAATGTTTTTGCAATTAGCAGTTTACACGCTGTAATAATATATTTTCGCATGTCTTTAACTGTCGTTGATATGGCTAGAGATAAATTCATTTTTTAAATCCCTCCCCGCAAAAAAAAAGAAAAATAATCATGAGGCATTAAGTCCAGAGAATGAGTCGACCACAAAATTTGTCCACCACATATACCACAATCCATCGATTAGGGAATTGTCTCTGTAATACATGACGTGCTTGTGCATAATTCGCAGAACAATTGTGGTGTTGGTATCACACAATGTTGGGTTTAATAAAATAGGTTCTCTAATAAAAGTGGTAATATATTTTTTAGATAAAAAAATATGAAATATTTATGTCCTGTTAATGATTTATCAATAAAATACAATTGGATTATGTTAATATCAATTGCCACACTAGATACTTAAATTTCATGGTCGCTGAAAATCAATCCAATAAAGCCAGTGCGAATTTTCTGCTAATTATTAATGCATATTTTTTAAGTTTATTTCTCTGGAATTTGTAAATATATTTTTGTTAGTAATTAAAACAAATCTAAAAATGAAATTTATTACGAATCATCAATGACAGTCAAAGGCATGCGAAAATGTAAGTATTATTACAGCATGTAATACTAAAACACTTCAACGTGTATCTCTTTCATTCTTTAATTGATTACGCATTTGCATTGAACGCAATGGATAACGTTTTACATATCATTAACAATTAAAAATATGTGAGTAATTTTTGATTTTTGATTTCATATCATACTCTTTTAATCAACGTTTTTTTCGATTTTTTCGAATAATATTATGTTTCTTTCAAAAAATTTAAAATAATTTTCATATATCAATAAAAAAAAAAAAAAAAGTAAAAACTAGATTATTGCGCTGTAAATTCTCCTTAATACGCGATTTTTGTTTAAAATATACGACAAACAATTACGAATAATTTAAAATGTGGTCACATGTTAGGTAACTCATCCTGTATATTTCAATTCTTTTTTTTTTATATTTTTGTTCGTTGCATACAAATTTAGATACTTTTTTTACGTATTTGGCATGTGTTTTTTATCTTTTACAGTATCTTTTTGGGTGAAAATGTGGTTGTATTAGTCGCATATTTAAAAAATTCATAAAGTACGAAGCCGAATGGCATATCAAGTAGGACAATCGTGGGATATGTCGGTTGCGTTAGAGTTGAATACGAGTAATATTTGAAACTTCGAATGGTTGTTGCCTGCCGAGAGAGAACGCTTGGCACGAGAAGGATGGAGAAAAAAACGGAGGACGTAATAAAATTCAAGATCGATATTGGCTGCGTGCTGCGTGGCTTTAATTACGATATATACCGGATTATTTATATATATTTCTTATCTGCGAGTTTTTATCATATTTTATTGCTGACAGTTATATCGTAGTAATAATGAGGAAAAAATATTGATGTTGATTATACGATAAAAAAAATATTTTAATATATGCAGATTTTGAGGAAATCGGCAAGGTATGGAAGTTAAAAATAATATTATTTTGACTGTACTGGAATATTCATTATAAGCGTGTGCATGGGAATATTCATTATAAACGATGAGCTTATAATATCCGCATCTTCGTTAATCTTCATCAAGATCTCGGCTAATCGATCTTATAAAACTGACAGATCAAACTTTTGCTTGTTATTTATCCTTCAAGAATATTGCAGTATCAAAATATATAAAGTAAATATATATCTATATAAAAAGGAAATTGCTCATTGTGTATGTTTCAGAAATCCTATTTGCGAAAATAGAAATTGATATCACTAATATTTTTGTATGTTTTTACAACATTAATTACTATTGTAAGCCTGACAGATACAGGATTCTGGAATCCAGATCCCATTAATTTTTTGAAAGTATTACAGTATTAAACTTTACGAAGTAAAAATACCGATTAGGATTTATACGGAAAAAGAAATAGAAATAACATAATATATAATATAAAAAAAATCAGAGATCTGGAGATAAAAAATAATATCATCCAATCACATTTCTAATATATACATATATGTATGTGCGTGTGTATGTATTATTTATTTCAATATGTAGCAATTGTCTCATAATATCGTGATATTTTGTCAAATATCTTTATAAAGTCGACGGTTGAACCTGTCATTCTTTATTTTAACAAATTTTATTATATCAATTTATTTAATACAAATATCAGTACACTGATATAACAAAGTCGTTTAACAAATCAGAAAAAATAAAAATAAAAAAAAACAAAATGTTTTTTTTTGCAAGAATTGGAAGATAAAGAGATAAAAACAGTATTCTGTTAGCAATGTGTGTGTGTCTACACTGAAAAAAAAAATTGTTAACTTGACTAAATCCGTTTAACTAATTCCCATTTTTTTAATTGAAATATTTATATATTTAAGTCAAATACGACATATTAAATCTAACATGACGTATATTTGACTTAAATATATAAATATTTCAATTTAAAAAATTGTAATTAGTTGAACGGATTTAGTCAAGTTAACAATTTTTTTTTTCAGTGTATGTTCATATATTCTCATTTATCTCGGAGGTCAGAAAAAACGTAGGGTAAAAATAATATTCTTTTGCTATATATATGTATTTATTAGAGGACGAAACAATCTAAGCAATATCTGGATTGTTCGTCGTTAATCAGGCGTGTAATCCTGACAGATGGAGTATTTAAGACGGCGCGAATCGCAGCCTTGGGGAATATAAGGCGAAACGGAGGCATTTTACCGAAAATTGTGCTTGCGACTTATTTATCGTGAAAAGAGACCGGTGATTCTGATGCCGGCGTCTGACATCGTCTGCTAAAAGTGTCGTGTAAATTTTCTCTTTCATGCACACGAAATACTCTTTGATTAATTACGGGAAATTTCCGCCGTAAGAGAGAGAATGATAATAAAAAAATATAATTATCGTCGATTCTCTAACAACAAATATTCGACTGGTAATAAATTTCTATGAATCGCGATGTCGGAATGTAAGTGTAAATAGCTTATTAATTTGAAGAAAATGCATTGAATCCGAAAATTATATATACATATGTTTGATGTAAAAAAACTTATAACAAAGTAAGGGAAATGTAATAAAAAACCGAACGAATGCCTGTCTCTGACAATAAACTTAAGAAGAACATCACCGAATTTTCTAAAATAAATGATCATATTTAATTTAAAAAAGTTTATCGTTTCCAGTGCTGTGAGAATACAAATCTGCTCATTTAATTTTTACGCTGATTTGCAACATTATACACGACAAAATTATCAAAATTAATCCTTTGCATGTGTAGTTCTTCAATCATACGATTAATAAGTAATGAATAGGACGCAGTGCTGCATATATCTTCATTATCATCTACATGGGATTCATTATGATTATTATCGCTCGCGCGATGAGACAATGTAATAGTTAGGTTACAATAATTTTGTTTCACACGGCCCGACATATGTATGTGCCTACTCTTCAGTAGAAGACCAAGACGTGCTGGTCGCGACAATCTCAATAGCTGATCAAATTAATACTTGCGAGCTAAAGCAAGCTCATTACGCATATAATTAGCTCAATCAAAGCGACGTAAACGAAAGTAAATGAATTTAGAATCGAACGGATTTCACCATAAAGCAAACTTTTTTTATAAAATAAGCAATAATTATTATTAATAATTCACGCATATATATACATGTTTATCTATGTGCTTTATTGAAGATTCGCTATAAACGCTTGATGCAATTACGCTAATTAAATCGACGAATAATTATTCCATTTTAATGCGAAGCTTATGGCTAATTAGTAGAAAATGATAACAGAATGTGCTTAATAAAATATAATAATAAATTCCGAATTTTACATAGACATAGAAATATATATTTATAATACACATGAAAATATAATACATATAGAAATACATATTTATAATATACATTCATATTTATATTTATACATATTTATAGAAATATATATTTCCTATGTCTATGGATATGGAATTTTACCCGAATTTTTGAAACAAACAAATAGTTAGAGCGAGAAAAATACAATAGAAAAGTTGATTGAAAGCTAAGACAGAAATACATATCCGTATCGATTTGAAATGCAATATCAATCGGGAATCATGTTCTCGCAAATATTATTTTTGCCATGGGTATGGTCAAGTAAAATGAAATGAAATAAGTTAGCAACACGAAGTAGAAATTTTTCAACAAATCGAGCGCTCGGAATAATTTAAGACTAAGCCGCACAGAGAATAAATTTTTAAGAAAAAGCTTCAGACATTTTGTAATTTAAACAAATAGAGTGCATATTTTACAGCATATTAAAAGTTATAGTAAATTTTTTAGAAGAAAGAGGAAATACACATATAATCTTTCTCTTTCTCTCTCTCCCCCGAGTAAGAATAACTGAAATATAAGTTGAAACACTATGGTTTTATAAAACATAACACTGTTTGAATAATTTAATTTGTATTATAAAAGTATAAAGAAAAGAACGAATAAATTTTTATTGTATGATAAAAAGAAATTTGTCGAATATATATGTTTTAATATTCTTTTATCTCTTATATTATTTTTAATCTTTGATATGGGTTTGTTTGAAATCCAATAATAATTTATAAGTAGTTTAATACGTTTATTTGTATATCTTTTTAAATTAAAGATTAAATAATAAAATTATTTTTTTCTACAATATGCGTGGTTATAGAGAAAAGATTTTTATTTTATATTTTATAAGAGAATAAAAAAATGCACTGAAAAATTTTTAAGAGAGACAAACTACGTGTTTATTAGGGGTTTAAAAAATTTAGTACAGAGAGAAAGAGAGAATGAGAGAGAGAGAGAGAGATTAGAAACAAAACAGTTGCAAAGCTGATAACTCTGTATAGGACTCACCGAGAATCAAGAGAAGCAGGTCAGATATTGCTAGATTGAACAAATAGTAATTAGTGGCATTTTGCATGACGGGATTTCGTTTGATGACGATGCAGGTGACCACATTGCCGAATATTCCGGTGACGAAGATCATGATGTAGACGAGAGTGATCGGCAAGACGAGTTTTAGCGGCAGATGTTTCGGGCCCCAGATCAATTTTATGTACTCGGACTCGCTTATATTCAGTTCCGTGATATTGTCGATAATCGAGAGATTTTGGCCCGAAAATTCCATACTTTGCGCTTTTCCCCGTCAGTAGTGTCGTCGGTCGCTATATCGATCAAATTATCCATTCATTATATCTCGCGATCCCGCGGAATTTTTCTGATAATTCGTGTTCCTTCATTCCTTAACAATCATTATTTTCCATTAGATAAGATTCTCATCTCGAGCGGCGTGCACAGAAACTTAACACGTTCCTCGGTTTCCGATACGTCGATTCGAATATCGCGCGAGCGTTGAATCACTACGAAGCAATTCATTGTTTTTTCTCTTCAAAAAATAATTTTCGCTAAAAACTGATTTTAATTCCGCGAACATTTTATAAGGATTTTATTCCGGGCGAATATGTTTATTTTATCGAAGGAAATAGACACGAGATACGCGCGATGAAAAGTGCTCCACTCAACAGACCGTGGACAAGTGACGCCCTCGGAGCGCTCCGGTGTTCGCTGTCGAACCACGCGCCCATCCACTACGCATCCAACCCTTAACTTCAACCCCCTCGAAAGAGAGAGAGAGAGAGAGACAGCACGCTGCGCCACTCGTCCAACAGGACCCTGCTAATCGTCGATGCATGAAAAATATTTCAAATATTTGATATATATTGTTTTAAACGATGCGGCAATACTTTAATAATACTGTAATAATCCTAGTTGAATGTAATATTGGATGATTTATTTTAATCAAATGATTAATTAAATTTATTGTCTAACGATAAATGTTAAGAATTTTACACGCGATGCTTCATTATTAGCGGTACAATTGAGAAGTAAATCTACACGAAAAAAGCAATAAATCGAAATCGATTATAAATCGAAATTAAAAATTTCTTAATCGTTTAAAATCGAGATTTTCTCGAATTTAAAGTTTCGAAAAAAAATTTGTTTTGTATTTTCTAAGTTTATTTTTTTTTTATTTAGAGATTTTTTCAATCTCCTCACTTTACCTGTTTGAACCACGAATAACAGGTCGCTTGACACATCAGATAGACAGTTTGATTTAATCTTTTAGTTATACGTGTTTGATTCAACAAAAGTGTGAAAACTTTAAACTATATTTATAATTTTTTATATATATATCTCAAGTTGAAGTTAAATAGAATGATTGTATCACTCACGCATACAATCGCTGTGTGTAATATAACTTTTCTAAAAGTTTCATCTTTTTTGTGAAACCACATTAAATTCTATATAACGTCTTCAGTAATGTGTTACTGTGATTTCTATTCAAATAAAAATTATTGGAAATACAGATTTTAAAAAAAGAAAATCTTATCCACTAAAATAAATTTTTTTTTACTCGCATCCATTTAATACGAAATTTATTGAGAGAGAATTTCTACTAAAATTTCTAAAAAATTGATTTCTAAAAGATTAAATCGTATTTCTAAAAGATTAAATGTATTGATCTCTATTTTCTCACAGGACACTAAAAGCGGTCTGATTGTGTCATCTACAGCCGCAGACCACCCATTTCATTTATTACATATAAAATCCAAAGTTCAAAGTTTAATTTATAACAGTAGCTGAGATGCTGTTACAAATATCTTAATAAATTATTATTTTTTTTTATCTTAGATTAGATTTAATAGCTGATAGTATTCACTTCTTTACAAAGCTGCCACAAAAATGAAGAATTATAATAATCTAATGCAATTTTATTAAACATAAAAATTTTTGCAACTCTTTTAATTAGCACAAATAAAGTAAAATATATTTAATATAAACAAATCATATTTGTATTGTTGCATATGAAAGTTTTCGATTTTGTGAGTCAATTTTTTGCTTTTCGCTTTGCGTTATTTTATTTTTACAATTTGTTTGAACCGCTTCGCTAGACCTATTATGCTTTTCATCTCATATTTTGTTAGTACATGTCTCTACTTGCGTACAAAGACCACAGACCACCTTCATCGTTTTACTCGTATAGCTTACTGTACTACACACGTGTTGTAATTATACATTACATTTCCTGACGCTTATTACTGAAATGACATTGTAGATATGATCAACATTTTGCCTTTCATATAAGCAAACTGCATATGGTACACATCACAGTCTATTAATAAGCGCGTCGTTTGATGAATTTATATCAGTACGTAAATATAAAGTTTAGACCTGTACATGACACCAGGGCCGCACATTTTGAGACCTTGGTACATCTTAGACGTAATCGGAGATCTTCCCATGGCACATTCAATGTGCGTGTTAATTATGAAAATGTAGTAATTAATTATTGTAAGCTACATTTTATAATAAGTACAACTTTCAGACACATGGTATTTTTTGTAAGTACATTTTACAACAAATTAGAATTATATTTATAATATACAAAAGTTATAAAAATGTATGCGTAGGCCGATTAAAAAGTTGAGAATTTCGTATTTTTTATCATTTACGATTAGAAATTATTAATCCAATTTTAGGAAAATTATTTCTGAAATGTTTTGTTGTTTTTAATGTTAAATACGTAAAAATTTAATTTAATTTAATTTTTAAAATAATTTGTTTTTGCCATACATATATTATAAGTTTATCTTATAATATAATTGTAAATATACATATTAAATTGTATTCATAATTCAATAGATGTCTTTCTCTTTTTGGTATCTTTTATACTTTACATAAAAATATCTTAACTGTTGAAATAGATAAAACTTTGTTTTGCTAAGAAAAAATAAATTATTTTTTGCATGTAAATAAAAATGCTTTTTTAAGACAAATTACACTAGAAATATTAAAAATACAAAAGCACCCACACTCGCTCATAAAAAAATATTTTAACAGTTAAAGAAAAGATTCGTGTGCACAGTTTACTCATGTTGAATGCAATCGCTAGGATACGATATATTTTATCTTTTTTATTTAATTTTGATATTAATAATTTCGTGCTTAAAAACATATTAGCATTAAAATTGTAACATTGTGCTTTACACTGAATATTCAAATATGCCATAAACGGAAGTTTTCCTAAATTACTCGCGAAACTCACGGATAGTATATGCACATTCCAACATAAAGGAAGTTAAATAATGCGTATAAAAGCAAGCATAGCTACTATGTAAATCTCAATCTTGAAATGAATCCCTGCTTGACACATCATAAATTCATGATGAAGCGTAACTAACCGCAGATGAAAGAGAGAGAGAGAGCGAGATATAAATTTTACGGAAATATTAACTCTCAATATACGATGCCCGAATGCGCCACAAATATTCAACTCGCTAAATATATTTTAACAATACTTTGCACTCCTCCCCCCCTCCCTCCTTCGTATCCTCCTCCCACATACATCGTATAATAAAAAAGGTCAGTTTTTTTTTAAATAATGATTTGTTACACATTTTAAAGAAATTTTATTCTTGCGTGGGACTGATTAAATACATATTCTCAATCTTGAAATGAATCCCTGCTTGACACATCATAAATTTATGATGAAGCGTAACTAACCGCAGATGAAAGAGAGAGAGAGCGAGATATAAATTTTACGGAAATATTAACTCTCAATATACGATGCCCGAATGCGCCACAAATATTCAACTCGCTAAATATATTTTAACAATACTTTGCACTCCTCCCCCCCTCCCTCCTTCGTATCCTCCTCCCACATACATCGTATAATAAAAAAGGTCAGTTTTTTTTTAAATAATGATTTGTTACACATTTTAAAGAAATTTTATTCTTGCGTGGGACTGATTAAATACATATATTCATTTAAAAGTCCATTTACGGCGGATAAAACCAGAACAGTAAAACCGAAATAGTTTTGGCGAATTTAATTTTCCCTGCAACAGACACATAAAATTCCATTTACTTAAAGTAAAGACACATAAAATTCCATTTTTCTCAATTATTGCGCTTTTATCGTTGCTAATAAATGCACTCTACGCCATAATAGTCCGAATTAATATTGGTTTATTATAAAAATATGATTTAAATTATGTAGGACTTTTAATAATTTTATGTCATTTATATTTTATTTTACTTTCTCTGTCTATCGCGAAAAAACAAAAACATAATTTAAGTCATTGTTTTGTCATAAATGTTGATGTAAAGAATTTTTTCATTTTTTATGAAGTGTATCATTATCAATAAAAAAAAAGCTCCTCACAATTAAGATTATTTTCGTGCATATA